AGTACATAAATATGTAAATGTATTTGTAGCATACTTAGCATTAAATAAATGTATTTCAAATACATTTTCTTATATTTATCTTTCACTAGGGGAAGCTAACTTTATGCCCATTTGGGACCGCAAAACCCAAATGACTTTCATTATTTGGTCAAAAAAAGCTAAAACATTCATCAAAATATCTTCTTTTGTGTTGCACACAAGAAAGTAAGCCAAATAAGTCTGAATGACATGAAGGTGGCTAAATGATGAATATTGTTAGGCTAAACTATCCCTTTAAATATGCATGATATCACCAATGGAGTTTTGGGGCTTGAGGTTATACTAAAATGATATCTAGAATACATCTACAATATTGGCAAAATATACCTAAGAAAATGTCGGTAACACTTTATTTTAAGGTGTCCTTGTTACATGTTACATGTACTTACTATTATGATAACAATAAATTATGCATAATTACATGCAAGTAACCCTAAACCAAACCCTAACCATATAGTAAGTACATAAAGTTAATATATATTACTCAGTACTTAAATGTATAATTACACTGTAACAAGAACACCTTAAAATAAAGTGTAACCAAAATGTCTTAATGAAAATATGCACTACACAGACTTTTGTCTAAATAAATGCTGTCTAAAGAGAATGCTATTGCCATGCTATTTTAGCCTATAGGCCTTTTTTATATCCTTAACGCTATCTAGCATTGGCCCATCTCTCATACTAATTAACATACACTTTTTATAAGCAAATGTTGACTGTAGTACATTAGCAATGAGCTCATATTTCTGCTAAAAGCCAGTGACTCTCATTCCCATCATCTCTAACCAGAGCGATCGTCATCGCTGACCACAGTAAAACCTCCATTACCAGCTCCATTATGCTCTCGTGAAATCCATTTACAATGAAACAACTTACAGCCTACATCTGAGTTACAAAACAACATTCACGACTCTCACACAGGAAAGATCCTCCCACGTTTCTCACCGCCAGCATTTCATATAATATCCACCTATCCAACCACTAAATATCACATATCCCTAGCTGAACAGTTATGCTAATACCATACGAAATGTAACACGGGATATAATAGCAAAAATAAACGTATATTCTACAGAGAGTTTGGCTTTGTAATTTCTCTATAACCTTCGCACAATAACATCTCTCAGCTCTGACAGTGCTGCTATGGCAACAGAGCGCTTACCCGGTGCTGCTACACTCCTAAGAGAGCTACATGGCAAGTATCTTGGGTAAAACGTGAGAAGACGTGGCCCCTGGTGACGGTTGACTAAACACAAAAGATGGAGACTGAGGATTCTATGCATATAGCAGCTGATATGAGAGGATTACATAATGTACATTAAAGAAAGGCACTTCTGCTTATATTTTCTGCTTAGGGCAGTGCTCTGTGCCAATGCATGCAAGGCTTAAGATTAACTAAGCTTTTTTCGCCTCTCTACATCATCAATCTGTGTTTGAATAATGGCTGCATCACGCACACAGCAAATGTGATCAAAGATGAACTAAAAATGTTTTTCACCACTGGCCAGTGACATATCTTACAGTGCCAATAACCAATCTTGTTTTAGCAAAGGCTATTTAACTTCACACAATATTACATAGACAATTTATCCATAGTACAAACAGAATATAATTTCTGTTCGTTCTTTGTCTGAATAGAATCTATATCACTATTTGTACTCAATGTTGTCATTGTTAACTAAGACTAAAAAGAAATAACTAAATATTAAACATATTAAAATAACTAACGAAATAAACTAACGAGAATATTAAAAATCATTTTCGTTAATTACTGTAAAATACAGCTGAAGTAAAATAAAATGTTTCATGCAAAACTTAAATTTACATGACAATTTGAAATGTTGTTTAAGTATTAAGTACTAGAGTACTAAGTACTAGAATCACTAAGACTGAATAACTGGTTGAAAAAAACTAAAACTAAAATAAAAATGTGAAAATCACATAACAAAAATCACTGAAACTTCACCTAAAAATTCAATTGACAATATAACAATAACTTTATAATAGTATTTAAATAACACTAAAATAGCATTGGTGCAAACAAGATTGTATTTTTTCTTTATTTTATTTTCTTTATTTTATTTGCAGTAAATAGCATCTACCTTCTCTTACACATGTAAATAATTGCTGCCAATCTGAAAATAATTATCTTGGTTTGGAAAAACTGGACATGATTGTATTCCATCATCACCTACTACCAAAACCCTGAGGAAAGAAATGTTATATCAAGTCCATTTCACAAAGTTTTATTTTTATCAAGTAACCGAAAAAAGCACTTAATGTGGTAACATCTAAATTAACTGTAAATTGAAATTGTTTAACCTGACTAAATCAAGTTATGACAAATTACGTACTCCAACAGAAGTCATTTTTATGGATTAGATTAGGCAGAAATGGTTCCTTGATGTAACAATTGCAGGTTTTTCAATGACATGTTTAGTGGAATTGAAGCTTTAAACGTGAGTTGTGTCACATAGGATATTAAGAAGCATTAGTTTTGATGTTTAGCTGTTAATAAAGCTGCAGCTAGCAACAGACAGCCACTGCATAAGAGCTTCAGAGAACACAAGCTGTCACTCAAACACACATCTGCTATAAGCCCCTCCCACTGCGAAACACAAGCAGATAGAAGTCTTTCTCCCATGTCTTCAACAACCGTAGTGCATATAAACTGAAGTGTGGTTTTTACATACGGTGTCCCAGAAGTATTCAGACACAAGTCATACTTAAAAAAGAATGAATTTTCTTGCAATAGATTACAAAATTTAGCACTATGTATTGTAAAGAAAAGTAGCACATTGCACATGCAGATGCCACTTCGTTTGATACTTAGTTATCTAACTAATTAACTAATATGACAGATAAGTGGATGAGTGAGATCAATTAGTTCATAAGTGTGACATAACATTTATCCTGCTCTGCATTGCAAGCCAAAAGAGAAACATAACAAAAAGAGAGGGTGACAAGAGAGAGGAAACAAACAGCCCTGCAGCACCAGACTAGATAAAGCAGCTTTCAGCTCAGAAACCACACTAGCAGCAAGGGTTAGAAAAAAGCAACAACCAAATAATCACAATATATCACCAAAATACCAACTCCAAAAATGGCATTTTGGTAATAATCATTTAGATTATTAGAAGACTGTATTATGTTTGTCCATTACTACATTATAATGTCCACAACTACATTATTTATAATAATCCAAATATTAGATACTAAATAAATACCAAATACAGAAATGTTGTTGTATAATTTAGTACATTATTTATATAATGTTGAATGTATAATGGTATAATTGTTACTGGCAATTATAAAAGCTGGTTAATAGATTTACAACTACACAGAGAAATTACAACAAAATAGTTTGATAGCCTTAACAGATAAACATTTATGGCTTTCATGGGATATGACATGAACATGTCTCTGATATGATTTTTGTATGATTGAGAGAGTATGAATTTTCTCTCAAACCCTTGAATGGACCCTGAGGCTGCAGCAATCTGCTTTATCCATAAAAACTGCAAAAGCATAGAAGAGAGAGTGAGATATAGCCCAAGAAACACACATTTCAAACCAGCAAAATCTTCAACTGGCCCCCGAAACGCTGAGAGAGAGTGACAAAGAAGGAACAAGAGTAAGAGGAATAAAAAAAGCTATAAAATTGAATAGAAAACAAGAGGAAAGTGAGACGAACTGTTTGACACAAAAAGACTAAGAGCTAAGAGGAAATTCTGAGTCTAATTTAGACTTTTGAAAGTCACTTGACACTGAATTGTACCAAACCCAGAGGGCTGGACTCCAGATCGTCTGTTCTAAGGAATTTCCCCGCTGGGATCACCATCGAGAGACGATAGGATGAGAAAAGAAACGAGTGATTAGAAGAAATAGAGAAATAGAGTTAGGAGTGCACAGGGAAGAGTTGAGGACCCAGTGAATCAATGTGAGCTGTTTAAAGAGCGTATATTTTAATGTGCGTGTGTGTGGTAATTAACAATTTATACTTCATTTTAACCATCCATGATTATATATGCAACTCTCTTCCATCTCTAATAGAGACATAAGAGCTCTGTTCCAAAACCTTGCAAGCTGCTTGCTGCCTACTACCTACTGTACATAGGCAGCTGCCTAATAAGACAGCCAGCATTGACTGTAATGGAATATCAAAAGTGACCAATTTTGAAAACTTTATGTTGACAGCAAGGTCACGTGGTGCACAAGTAGTGCTCAACGCTGAGACTCAAACTGATGTTAAAGTTTGTTGTTAGCATGTTGCTAAGCTAACAGTCTGATACTCTAACAAACATAACAATACACAACATCCACAAATATTAAGTAAAATAAACAATTGTAACACTGAATTCCTTCCATTGATAATTTTAGTACTGAATTAACTATAACTAACATATATTTAATCAACATTTCTATTTTTCATCCACCATTTTGGGCAAATTTTTTCACAGTGTTTCACCTCTAAAGGCATACCTACATGTTTCCTTAAAATATGGCCAAAAAGAGCTTAGAAGGCAGCCTAATTTAGTTGCCTACTTCTCTCTAGGCAGCTTACTAGGATTTGGAACAGAACAATAAAACATTATGCACTAATGCATGTCTCAGTACCATTAAAACAAAAGTGGTCACACACTGTCTGATGAAATACTTATGATGAAATAAAGGCAGAGCAGATAAAAAGCAAACACTCTTACTCTCGATGATGTCACCCAGGCCCTGGGCATAGAGGAGGTCCTTCAGACGGGACACCTCATCTTTCAGCTCACGCACCAGACGGTTATTAGGATCTTCATTGATCACAGCATTACAACGGATCTGCTTAGCCCTGTCTGCATACCTGAATCACACACAAAGTGGACTTAAGATGGTAAAGAAAAAATAAATGGTAATATATGTAAAAAAAAAAAAAAATGCTTTAATAATGCTGCTTTCTTATGGCTGTTGCAGTAGATATATACACATAGTATAATGAAAAAAGATTTTAGACAGACACACATACACACACTGATAGGTGCCCAATTACTCTGCTCAGCAATATTACTGCACACCAGTATCTTTGAAGGGCATTTCAAGTGGGAGGCAGGTTTGTGGAGAGAGAACAGGAACATTCTCATTATGTAACATACCGCTGTACCCGTCAGCTCATTAACTAGCTCATTACCAACCTCAGACAGAGAGAAAATAATGATAGATCTGGTGTTTTACTGAGTAAGAATACCTGAGAGTGCTGAGGGTTTCATCATAGTTGATGTCAGCAGGACTGAGAGCCGCCACCATTGCGGTGCGAGAGTTGCCACCTGCAAAGGTCAAAGGTCAAGTGCTTCAAGAGTGAGAATGCATTAAAATCCTGTTTCATGTGACAGAACACCCTGATACATACCAAGGTTCTCTCTCAGTAGCCAGGTCAGTACAGAATCCCTGTAAGGAATAAAACTCTCTACTTTCTTCTTCTTTTTGTTCTGTGTGGAATAAAATTAAATAAAAAAATATATATTATATTATATTATATTATATTATATTATATTATATTATATTATATTATATTACTACAAAAAGAACCAGCCATCCAGTGTTTAATTTCTTCATATTAATTAGTCTACTCATCCATCACAAGATACTGTACCTATTTTAACATCTTAAAGCATTAACACACATCTTAAACCACTTAAAAGTTTGGTATGTCTGTGCTTTGTTTGAATGTCATTATTGATAAATGGTTCAGTTAATTTTGGGTTAAGTAAAAATTATATAATCATTATACTTTTTAAAATATGTTTATATATGTACTATCATTCAAACATTAGAGTTTGATACAATTTTTAATATTTTGCAAGTCACCTATGTTCACCAAGGCTACATTTATTTGATCTAAAATACAGTCAAAACAGTAAAATATTATTATTACAATTGTAAATACAATCATTTTGTATTTATTTATTTTTGTGAAAAATGTGATACATTTTTCTTTCTTGGATTCTTTGATACATAGAGATTAATATCAAAATTAATAATCAAAATTAATCAATTAAAAATTAAATGTTCAAAACAAAGAGCAGATAGATAGATAGATAGATAGATAGATAGATAGATAGATAGATAGATAGATATGTTGTTTCATGTTGTTATACCTTGTTTGAGCCAGAATCCTGCAAAAATAAGTGATTGCAGATCATTAAACTGACACACATTAACATTTTTATG